CAGTGAAGATACTGGACATTTTCACAAGGATCCCTTCTGCTACCCTTTTATAGCCACAGACACCCCCTTCCCCTCATGCCCACTCCCAGCAACCATTAATCTATTATCTATTATAATTTTGCCATTTCAAGAATGTTGTATAAATGCAATCATACAGGTGCAACCTTTTGAGGTTGTTTTTTTTTTTTACTCAGCATAACCCTTTGAGATCCGTTCAAGTTATTATGTGTAATCAATAGTTTGTTCCTTTTTACTGTTGAATAGTATTTCATGATTCGAATGCATTACAGTTTGTTTAACCATTCACTCACTGAAGGACATTTTTAGTTGGTTCTTTTTTTTTTTCTTTATTTTATTTTTGAGACAAGGTCTTGCTCTGTCACCTGGGCTGGAGTGTAATGGTACAATCAGGGCTCACTACAGCCTAGACCTCCGGGTCAAGTGATCCTTCTGCCTCAGCCCCCCAAGTAGATGGGATCACAGGTACATGCCACCACGCCCAGCTAATTTTCATATTTTTTGTCGAGACGGGGTTTCACTATATTGCCTAGTCTGGTCTTGAACTCCCGGGCTTAAGCAATCTTCCCACCCTGGCCTTCTAAAGTGCTTGGATTACAGGCATGAGTCACTGCGTCCAGCTGGTTTCTGTTCGGGATTATTATGAATAAAGCTGTGATGAACACCTGTGCACAGGTTTTTGTGTGGATGTAAGTTTCCATTTCTCTGTCATAAATGTCCAAAAGTATAATTGTTAGGTCATACGGTAAGTGCATATTTAGTTTTATGAGAAGCTGTCACACTCTTTATCAGAGTGGCTATGCCATTGTATTCTCCCACTAGTAAATGAACCTACGAGGGATCCGGTTTTCTGTACCCTCATCAGCATGTTGAGATAGTAATGACCTCTTTTGTCTTGGATGAGGAGATCAGGAAGATTGTCTTTGCTTTGGATTGAGAATAGTTCTTTTGTTTGCAAACTTTACAGAAAGTTAGCCCTATTCTGGGCCACCTAAAGGATACCTTTTATAATCTTTACTCTTCTGTTTTCTGACTGTCTCTTTTTTAAACTTAAAATAACAATATATGTGATAAGTTTTAATAGATGAAAACATTTCCCATGATGAGCTTCTCTCGGGTTAAAAACAAAGGGTCAGTCCCCAGTCTGTAGAGATTAATAAATGACTCACATGTAGTCTGAATCAACGTGGGAAGATGGAATAGGGGAGAAAATGAAGGATGGAGACAACCTGAGGAAAATGATAAAAGAAGTCCATTATTCATAAGATGTGATGAACATTGGAACATGGTAACAAAAGGAAATGCATTTGTAATGATACTGGGCTATGACCTGCTTCAAGGGGTGTGTTAGGGTAACATAATTTGGGTTGAAAAGGACGTAAGCTACCATCTATTTAGATGTCATTCATAGTTTTAGAAATGAGATAACTGATGCCCAGATCAATTAAACTGCTTGTCCAAAGCCACTCTGGGGTCCGACTGCAGACAGGGGCCAGAGCCCCCGCATTGCACAGTCTGGACATTAAAAAAAAAGATTTTCAGCTTGACCTGTGCCAGGCATTCTCATGTCACACCATGCCTTGCTTTCCTGGACATGTCATGTGGTTCCAAGCTGGAAGCTTCTGCGTTGTTCCACTGTGCTGTCCACACCTATGCATCTTTACAGTGGACACCAGAAGGTGAGTGAAGCATCTCTGTGCAGACTCACCAGGTTTTTTGTTTCCAAATGTCCTCCGATGCTCAGCCACTTACAAAGACTCAGAGGTAAAAAGAATTAGCCGTTTAAAAAAACAGATTAACCAGAGCAAGTTTTAAAATAGCAAGACTTAAAGTGATTCAATGTTAATTGAATATTGAGTAAGGAAGAGGTAGGGAGTTAATTGAATGAGTGAGCTTGGGGTTTCGAATAATTTTTTCATGATGTGAAGGAAATTATTACAGAGTTGGATGCAGATCAGGGGAGAGAGAGACTGCATAATCCTTGGAAGCAGCAAATGAAAGTCATTTAGTTTGGTGGGAAAAACACAAGCCTGTTGGTTTGTTTGTTTTTCCCGTAACCTTGTAAAATTATATTTTTTAAAAAACCCCAGAATTTGAAAAAATTGTTACAGAAGTTGCATGTTTTATAAAAAATTTAGAAACTATTGATAAGCAATAAAAATAAAATAAATATCATCCATGATCTCATTATAGATACCACTGACATTTTAGCTTCCTTCCTTTTCGTTTTTTTCTGAGAATAGTCATATATCACTTAACGATAGGAATCCATTCTGAGAAATGCGTTGTTCGACCACGTCATTACTGTGTGAACATGGCAGAGTGGACTTGCACCAACCTAGAGGGAAGAGCTTGCTACACACCTAGGTTGTGTGGGACAGCCTAGTGCCCCAGGCTGCAAACCTGTACAGCATGTTACATACTGAATACTGTAGGCAAATGTAACACAATGGTAAGTATTGGTGTATTTAAACATATCCACACATAGAAAAGGTACAGTAAAAATATGATATGGTACACCTACATAGGTCACTGACACTGAATGGAGTTTGTGGACTGCAGGTGGCTCTGGGTGAGTCAGTGAGTGAGTGGTGAGTGAATGTGAAGGCCTAGGGCATCACTGTACACTACTGTAGACTTCATAAACACTGGACACCTAGACTACACTAAATTTATTAAAATATTCTTTTCAGTAATAAACCTTAGCTTACTGTAACTTTTTAGCTTTATAAATGTTTTAATTTTTGTTTTAGAAAACTTTTGGCTGCTTTGTAATAACACTTAGCTTAAAACACAGACACATGTACAGCTGTACACAGATTTTTTTCTCTAGATCCTTATTCTATAAAGCTTTTTCCTATTTAAAAAATTTTTTGTTTTTAGAGCTTTTTTTTGTTAAAAACTAAAACACAAACATGTGAGTAGCCTAGGTGAAGATCATCAATATCACTGTTTTCCACTACGACATCTTATCCCATTGGAAGGTCTCCAAGGGCAGTAACACATATGGAACCATCACCTCCCATGATTTCAATGCCTTCTTCTGGAATACCTCCTGGAGAACCTGTCTCAGGCAGTTTTGTAGTTAACATTTTATTTTTATGAGTAGGAGTAGGCTCTAAAACAATAATAAAAAATCTAGTATAGTAAATACATAAACCAGTAACATAGTTGTTTATTATCATTATCAAGTATTATGTAGGGTCCATAAGTTGCATGTTCTCGAATTTTACACAACTGGCAGTGCAGTAGGTTTGCCCATGCCAGCATCACCACACACACATGACAAATGTGATGTGCAATGACATTAGGAAGGCTATGCCATCGCTAGGTGATGGGAATTTTTCAGCTCCATCATAATCTTAGGGACTACAGTCAAATGTGTGGTCTATCATTGACTGAAACATCATTACGTGGTGCATAAGTATACATGTCTTTCATATAGATGTATATATGTGATATGTGCTCATATGTATATAATGTCTATAAATATAAGATTATATTGTTTTGTAACCAACCTTAAAATTTAACAGTCAATGAATGCCTTTCCAATACAATTTTAACCTGTCTAATGTTCTATTTTATAGATGTTCTTTAGTTACTTTACCCCATACGATTTCCCTTTTATAAAGGCCCTGTGATAAATGTTATAGTTTCATTGTTGTGCTTATACACTATTGTTTCATTAATTAAATTTGAAATTCCAATGTCAAATGAAATGTAAATTGTAGGGCTTCTGATCCCTCCTAGTGCTGTAGGATGAACCTGGGGAAGTGCGTCTCGATCACCATTCCCACCTGCAGTCAGTAGGGTTTCCCAGGTCCTTCCCAACAGTAGCCTTCAGTATTTCTTTTTAAAAATCACCAATTGGATAAATAAAAAAAATCCGTATTTAACATTTTTATTTTTTGATTATTGAGGACATTATACTTAAAAAAATAAGTTTATTGGTTAATTGGGTTTCTGTATTTGTAAATGGCCAGACCATGTCCTTTGACTGTTTTTTTTTTTGATGAGGTGCTCATCTTCTTCTTAATGATTTTTTAATTCCTTTGTATATATTAAGTTTACTCACTCTTTGTTTTCTATGCTATCAAGAATTTTTTCCTGTTGGTTGCAGGCTTTCATTTTTATGTACTCTCCTATGTTAGTAATTTTTATTGCTGTTACTGTTTTTTGGATTTTTTTCCTTTTATTTATCTGACTGCTTTTCATTTTCAGGCAGTCAGATCCATCACTCTTGTGATTTCTGTCATTGGTCTCATACTTAGAAGGATGAACCCATTCTTAGATTACGGAACTACTTGCCCACATTTTCTTCTAGTTCTTTTATCATTTTATCTCAAATCTGCAATTTACTTTGGTGATAGGTTTTATTTCAGGATACAATTGCAAAATATTATGTTCTAATTTATATTTGTAAAACAACTATTAGGATGGTTAATGACCAATTTTGCTGTACATTTGCAATCATCCTGTCTACACCAGCTAAACACTGTTATCTACATGTGGGCCTGGGACTCTCTGTGATCATTACTATTTAATTGCTTAAAAATCAGAGTAGGCCTTGGGGTTCACATACATTAAGAATGAGGACCATCACTGTAATGCTGGCTGGCACGTTCAGATTTCTTTCTTTTCTGGTTTGGATTCGCAAACACTTGAAAGTACACTCATGTTTTGTTTTGCTGGAGTCCTGTGAGAGTTAGTGTATGTGTTCCAGTCACTGGCCAAAGTCTGTAGTTTGTAAGAAAAGCTGTCCTGGGGGAATGGTGAGAAGGAGGGGGTGAGTGACTCTCTCTCCAGACAGTACCTTTCAGCCTCTATTCCAAGATGCTCGCAGCTGGGTGGATTGCTGAGTCCAATACACCTCAGGGCACAAACTGCACTTCCCGCACATTGACTGTCCCTGAATGCCATCAGCTGCACAACAGGTTGCTTCCTACGTTAGAGTGAAACTTCAACTTTTCTTTCTTTTGCAGAGCTTCAAACGTGAGAATACATTCCAGTTGCAGGATCAGAGGACTTTTCCTACAGCACGTAAGTGCCTGCAGTTCTATTGGATTTGCAAATCTACAAAAGAGAGCACATCCTATTGTTCCTGGTTTTGAGGTTTTTTAATAGTATATCTTGTAAAATACTGGTTGCTGGTGGACAGGGCTGCTTTACAGATAGGTGTAACTCAGGAGGGGAAATGGGTGGACAGAGACAGCCACAAGGAATTCCACACATGAAGGAAATGCTCCCACCTGTGTTTTCTATTTGTGTTTTAAATTTGGGGAGCGACTCACAGGCACTTAGCAAAAGTAACTAATTATATTAACCTTATCGGTGATGAGGTTTCCTGGCTTCTCATCAGACACTCAGCTCACTGGCTGGTATTTAATTGGGAGCCTGGTGGCCAGTGAAAACAGTGTGGGATGAGTCACACTTTAACAAGTTTTCATAGTACAGCAACCTTGCTGTATAATAGCCAGACGTTATTAAAATTCAGATATGGTACACTGACTTGTTTGTTTTCCTTATTCACACGAAACAGATGCTCAGGACTCATTCTACTTAGACACAGTAAATGAGGGTCAGCTGTGTTGAGGGAAGTGAGTACTTTGTCTGTTCTGGAAGGATAGATGTTGTAGCAATTGTCTTGCTCTGACTGTGTTTGAAAGGAATGAATATTCTTAATACAATTTGATATTCTTCCAATGCCTAGTTGGAGTTCAAGGGTTATAAAACTGGGCCATTGAGGAGTGGGATGGAAAAGGATGGAGATGGAAAATCAAATATGGCTTCGAAGGGGATCAGCAGAGCCAGAGGTTCTTTGTGAATGGCCCTTTGCACCCATAGCTTGGTGGACCCAGCATGGACCATGGAGAGGGGACCTGCCTAAAAACCAGAGACTGGGTTTGCCTCTCCACATCGCCACTAGCTTGCTGCATCATCTTATTCTGCCTTTCAGATTCTTCACCTGTAACAAGGAATGATTGGGATAGCTGGTTTTATTTATTTATTTTTTGAGTCCATTCTGGCACTTCGTAAAGTCCAAGGGGGTGTTGTATTGTAATTCTTGGAATAATACAGTGAGCATCAGATACTTTGAGCTTTTCCAATGGGTAGATTCTGGGATTCTTTTCTGCACGAGTGATACTAGCCAACAGAAATCTCATGGTTCAAACTCCAACTCAAAAGTTATTTTGGGGATGGGAAATGGTAAGATTGGGGAAAATCCTTCCACCTTCACCCCTGTGAATTAGGAATCTTGTTAATTAGTACATATTATTAAATATTGAGATTTATAGGCATCAACCTGTGTGACCTGTGACAGTTGGGTATCAAAACACATCTTTATCTGCATTTCCACTATCACTTCACAATTTATTCAGTGGAGCTGTCCAGTGATGACAACTGTTATTATCCTTTCTCCAAAAGGTAGCAAATGTCAATTTTTTTTTTTTTTCATAAACTGCCTTTATTCGAATCCCTCTCCCTCTCTCTCATTGCTTCAGGGTCAGGGACTCATATAGCTTTTTAAAATCACCTCATGGGCAAATGTGGATGCTCTTGTACACTATTCATGAGTTATGAGGTTGGTGGTGGTGAGGATGTGAGGCTGGGTCTGGGAACATGAGACTGTTCCCACACACGGTACAGGGGCATGTGAAGGAAGGGAGCCAATGGAGGAAAGGATGGAGTTTCAGAAACGCTGGCCAGGGCTCACAGTGTGGCCCTTGGGAGAACTGCCGTTCTTCATCAGCAGTGACATCCACACATACCTGTACGGCCTATAAATACAATAAAGGAGGGTCTGTGGAATGAGAAGTCCAGTGAATTAACTAATGTGGATGTAAGCTTTGTAATGCATACAAAGTGTTTGCATGTGTGATCTCACTGGCTCTCAGCACAGTTAGACTTGCGTTCCACCATGATTTACCACCTAGTTTCCATCTACTATTTGGCAATTAAAAAAAAGTGAATCAAAGAAGTTAAATGACCTGCCTTGGTCACTAAGCTCATAAGTGGCAGAGTGGAGACTTGAACCCAGGGCTTCTGATCCCTAAAATTTCTACAATTTCCTTCTTTATTATTATGTACTTTTTTGAGACAGAGTTTTGCTCTTGTTGCCCAGGCTGGAGTGCAGTGGCGGATCTCACCTCTCTGCAACCTCTGCCTTCCAGGTTGAAGCGATTTTCCTGCCTCAGCCTCCTGAGTAGCTGGGATTACAGGCACCCACCATCATGCCCAGCTAATTTTTTGTGTGTGTTTTTAGTAGAGATGGCATTTCACCATGTTGGTCAGGCTGGTCTTGAGTTCCTGACCTCAGGTGATCCACCCACCTTGGCCTCCCAATGTGCTGGGATTACAAGTATGAGCCACTACACCCGGCTGATTAAAATTCCCTCCTGTTATGAGGACTAGGATAAGAAGTTCAGTGGGTTTGGACGGGGGTGGAGAAGCATGTTATGTATTATTTACTTGATTTCTCTGTACTTCATTCTGTTCCCCCTCATCAAGTGACTAGGCCAAGACTACCTCATGAGCATCTTTTTATTCTCTGACTCTCACAAAACAGCCTCTCTCCTCACTCCCTGCTGCCTTTGTGAGACATGACTTGGCTGTGAAGGTGGGAGCAGGGCAATTCTGGTGACCCAGTGACTGAAAGAACCATTAAGAAAGGAAGAGCATCTTCTTCTTGACGAAAAATTTGATCTTTTCAAAACCAAGACCCTCTTGACTCAAAACAGTTTTTCATCTTTCCTGCCAACCCTTCTTTCTTCTCAGTTCTCCCATTGACCATTTTTCTGAGTCATCCAATGAGGGATCTGAACTGCAAAAACAAGTTCCTGCATAGCTTTTCTCAGTCAGTGGCCACCCCGTGTTTAGGGAGTGATTGTTGGAAGTTTTCAGGTGGAAGCTTGTTTGGGATGAAGGAGAAGGGCCTCTTCTGCAGCTTGTTCCTCTAAGTTGATCACGTTTCCAACACTAGCTGAAAATCTGGTTTAAGCCCTAGTGATGACTCCCATCACCATAGCTTGGCTTCAGCTGTCCAGAGCATGTGTTTGCTCCATGCCACTGCCCGACCCAGTCCATCCATGCCTTAGGAAGAAGTGGGGCCTGAAACAGATATTGTTAGTGAGATAGCAAAATTCAGTGATTCATCAAATATTCATGGCTCAGTGGCCAGGCATGGTGGCTCACACCTGTAATCCCAGAACTTTGGGAGGCCGAGGCCGAGGATCATGAGGTCAGGAGATCGAGACCATCCCGGCCAACACGGTGAAACCCTGTCTCTCTAAAAATACAAAAATTAGCTGGGCGTGGTGGCTCATGCCTGTAATCCCAGCTACTAGGGAGGCTGATGCCGGAGAATCACTTGAACCAGGGAGTTGGAGGTTGCAATGAGCTGAGATGGTACTACTGCACTCTACCCTGGTGACAGAGTGAGACTCTGTCTAAAAACAACAACAACAACAACAACAAACAAATTCATGGCTCACTAAAGCTTAGTATCTTGTCTATATTATCTTGATCATATTGTTATTTAGTTTCTTTTTTTTTAAATTATACTTTAAGTTCTAGGGTACATGTGCACAACGTGCATGTTTGTTACATATGTATACATGTGCCATGTTGGAGTGCTGCACCCATTAACCTATCATTTACATTAGGTATATCTTCTAATGCTATCCCTCCCCCCTTCCCCCACCCCACAACAGGCCCCGGTTTGTGATATTCCTCTTCCTGTATCCAAGTGTTCTCATTGTTCAGTTCCTACCTGAGTGAGAACACGCGGTGTTTAGTTTTCTGTTCTTGTGATAGTTTGCTGAGAATGATGGTTTCCAGCTGCATCCATGTCCCTACAAAGGACATGAAGTCATCCTTTTTTATGGCTGCATAGTATTCCATGGTGTATATGTGCCACATTTTCTAAATCCAGTCTGTCTTTGATGGACATTTGGGTTGGTTCCAAGTCTTTGCTATTGTGAATAGTGCTGCAATAAACATATGCATGCATGTGTCTTTATAGCAGCATGATTTATATCCTTTGGGGACATACTCAGTAATGGGATGGCTGGGTCAAATGGTATTTCTAGTTCTAGATCCTTGAGGAATCGCCACACTGTCTTCCACAATGGTTGAACTAGTTTACGGTCCCACCAACAGTGTAAAAGTGTTCCTATTTCTCCACATCCTCTCCAGCACCTGTTGTTTCCTGACATTTTAATGATTGCCATTCTAACTGGTGTGAGATGGTAGCTCATTGTGGTTTTGATTTGCATTTCTCTGATGGCCAGAGATGATGAGCATTTTTTTCATGTGTCTGTTGGCTGCGTAAATGTCTTCTTTTGAGGAGTGTCTGTTCATATCCTTTGCCCACTTTTTGATGGGGTTGTTAATTTTTTTCTTATAAATTTGTTTGAGTTCTTTGTGGGTTCTGGATATTAGCCCTTTGTCAGATGAGTAGCTTGCAAAAATTTTCTCCCATTCTGTAGGTTGCCTGTTCACTCTGATGGTAGTTTCTTTTGCTGTGCAGAAACTCTTTAATTTAATTAGATCCCATTTGTCAATTTTGGCTTTTGTTGCCATTGCTTTTGGTGTTTTAAACATGAAATACTTGCCCATGTCTATGTCCTGAATGGTATTGCCTAGGTTTTCTTCTAGGGTTTTTATAGTTTTAGGTCTAACATTTAAGTCTCTAATCCATCTTGAATTAATTTTTGTATAAGGTGTAAGGAAGGGATCCAGTTTCAGCTTTCTACATATGGCTAGCCAGTTTTCCCAGCACCATTTATTAAATAGGGAATCTTTTCCCCATTTCTCGTTTTTGTCAGGTTTGTCAAAGATCAGGTGGTTGTAGATGTGTGGTATTATTTCTGAGGGCCCTGTTCTGTTCCATTGGTCTATATCTCTGTTTTGGTACCAGTACCATGCTGTTTTGGTTACTGTAGCCTTGTAGTATAGTTTGAAGTCAGGTAGTGTGATGCCTTTAGCTTTGTTCTTTTGGCTTAGGATTGTCTTGGCAATGCAGGCTCTTTTTTGGTTCC